AGCTGAAGGCGATTCATCTGCATCCAGTTTCACATCTGCTAACTTAGATATGTTAGTGGGCTTTTGGGATGCCATTTCGTCCCTTCCAACAGAACCTGGTGGTATTCACTGGGTGACCTCCTACCTTTCTCTGTGGTGTAGTCCCATTGGGGTCTCTGTCTTGGCAGACTGTTGTCAATTGCATTTACCCTCAGGTTATCAGCCACTGAAGCTGTTTCGGGGAGTGCTTCAGCTGCTTTTGTGAGAATCTATTCCCTTTCTTCAGTAGTAAAAAGGGTATGGAGAATCTGCTGACTGTCATCTCACGTGGGGAGATAATTGAATGAGATCGAATCAATTAGAGAAATTAAGGAATCAGGGTTAGTACTGAAAGGGGGCTTCTGAATCTTATAGAGAATCTTGTAGAGATCTGTAGTGGAGAAAGGGACATACAAGTAGTGATTTTTAGTGAAAAGCTATAGAGGAGCAAGGACCAAAGGAGATGCCACCCTAGAACCAGAATTGGAGGAGGAGTTGGGAGGGCTATATTGGGACCCCTGGCTTGTGTGTGGAGGGGAAAAGACATGAGGAGGTAGGGAAGAGCTGGGGGGAGGTAGGGGGAGGTAGGGAAGAGCTGGGGGAGATGGGGGTAGGGAAGAGCTGGGGGAGGTAGGGAAGAGTTGGGAGGATAGAGGGAGGTAGGGAAGAGCTAGGGGGAGGTAGGGGGAGGTAGGGAAGAGCTGGGGGAGATGGGGGTAGGGAAGAGCTGGGGGAGGTAGGGAAGAGTTGGGGGGATAGAGGGAGGTAGGGAAGAGCTGGGGTGGGGGTGATGGGGGAGGTAGGAAAGCTGGGGGGAGGTAGGGGAAGTAGGGAAGAGCTGGGGGAGAAAAGATGGGGAGGTAGGGAAGAACTAGGAGGTGGGGTAGGAGTAGATGTGGATGGGGGGCAGTGAGGCTATGATGGTGGGACTAGGGCGGTAAAGGTGGAGGCTGAGGTGAGGAGGGGATAGAGTGGTAAAGTTATATATGGAAGGAGGAGGGATTCTTCCTTCTGCGAATTCTGCAAAAAGGTTTTCAGAGGGCTCCTGCATCTCTGCTACAGACCCTCGGAGAGCCAATCTGCCGACAATCAGGGCTTGGCCACCTTGCCCATTAAGAACCATACAGACCTTCGTGAGGGGCGGGAGGTTGGAAGTTGCTTCAGCCCAAGGCAAAATGTGTCAATCCAGTCTGATCTAGGTAGCCATGATTACCAAGGGTGACATCTGAGAATCGAAAGTGCCCTGGGAGGGCCAGTCAACCCCGAATGTGGGCCATTCAGTTTCACAGAATGTTCAGAGGCAACTCTTAGTGAGAGGATAATCATAATCCTCCTTGACTAGAGGGGGCTAAATTTATCAGAATGTTTTAAAACACAGGTAGAGGGCTGTCAGGCTTATTATCTATTCTATCTGTCTGTTTAGTCACCCCAAGTCCAAATAAGCCAATTAACACAGAAAGTAAAATGACAGAACAGAAACAGTAAACAGGAAGCCAAAGACAAGTCAAAAAAAAGGGACATGAAACCAGACCTCAGGTGGATGGTGCTACGTCTCACTCTTTGTCCTGGGCTGGAGAATATTGAGGTTCCATTGAACACCCTCACATCCTAGATCAGGATCTCAACAGACCAGACTATGGCTTACCAGGGAGGCCTCTAGAGGCTTACTGCTTTTCTTGCACAGCAGTTCACTCTGATAGTCCCTGAAACTGAAAGCACGCCTCAGAGTCTTGGAACCTCTCAAGATGCACACTTCCTGAGGTGACCCTTCAGCCCTGGATTTCTGAAGTGAGGGTCCAGCTTTAGAATTTGGATGGATGATCTGATCTCGATATGATCTCGCTGAGGCCTCCAGAAAATGTTAATCCCATTGGGCAAGAATAAGACCACTACCACAATTTTGAGCCAAATTTGAAGCAAGCTTGGTTTTTATTGGGGTGCACACAAGAACTGGCTAGCAACTCCTCCTGAGTCCAGTTAAAGAGACCAGACCTTAGACTATTTCTTGGACCCCTTTTAAGGAGTAAAATTATGAGTAGTTGCAAAACAGGTTTACAGAATAGAGATGATGGAGCCATAAGAAAATAGAGAAAAATCTCAAAACCACATATGGTCTCCATGTGGAGGGGGGGTAGGGAGGGTCACGGTATTCTCAAAAAACAAGTTAAGGTCATAGGTTGGGGCATGTCAGACTCCAGGAAACAGACTTAAAAGCAGCAACTCAGCTTTTATGGTAAATGGAAACTTTTTTTTAACAATACAGCATAATGGCTCCTTCCTTAAAATGGAGTCAGGCAAGTTCCTCAACTCAGCTGTCACTTTCTTATTGAGATGTGTCCATGTACACAGATAATGGCATAACTGAGGCTTCTTATGTCCTGGAGATGCTGGTGTTCAGAAAAATCTGCAGGTCTTTATGAAACCCATTGAGTAGATCCTGATCAGCATTTAAGTAGAGGGCTAGAGAGATGGCTCAGTTGTTGCTGGCCACTCTTCCAGAGGACTTCAGTTTGATTCTTATCACCTACACAGTAGCTCATGACCAACTTGTAACTCCAGTCCCAGGGAATCCAATGCCCTTTTCTGGTCTCAACAGGCATAGACATACATGCAGGCAAAACACCTATACATATAAAACAAAAATGAGGAAAAATGAAGCAGAATGGAAAACCACCAAAGTAGGTGTCAAAGGACATATTACAGTTTAGTTAAAGATTTTAATTGCTCTTATTTTCTAGAATTGGGGAACACTTATTCTGTAAAGTAGGACAGATGCTCCGATAAACTGAGGAGTATAGGTCCATTTTAATGGAGATTAAAGGGTGGGGAGAAAGCAGAAACAAAGAATAGAAAGATTATCACAGAATTATGCTCCTTTAAGACAAAGATAAAGAAACAGAAGCATAGACATAACTTATTGTTGGTATTAGATTGCTTCAACTTACTTCCTTATAGGATTAGATAGAAAGAACTCCTTTATGCCTATGAAATTGGCCTGTTTGGCACATTTTGCATTTTTGTAATCTCTAATCCCAGTTTCTTAAATCAGATAAATACCTTGGTTTCTACTTGGTGACAGAAACTCCTTTGGTTTGAGTGACTCCATCCTGACTTTTAGCCTGCTCTATTGGGACCTGAGGCAAGAGCTCAGTTGAAAACAATGGCCTACTGTACTTTTTATTTAATGAGGGTTGCAATTATTTTATGAGACTTTTGTTTAAATGGTGTGTGGGGGGGGGGGGGGAGAGGAGGGGAGGGGAGGGTGAATTGGAAATGCTTTGTTACCAACTCTGGTCAGCTAGTCCTGTGCTGTGACCACATGACTGAGAAAGCATCTTAAAGGAGAAGGAGTTTCCTCTGGCTCACACTTTGAGGATGCAGCCTGTCATGGTGGGGAAGGCAGGCAGCAGAGCTTATCAAGGCAGCAAGTGATCACGTCTCTATGGACTGGGAAGCCGAAAGAAGACATGAAGTAGAGCTAGCTAAAAACCTCAGAGGTCCACTTCCTCCAGTGAGCTCCATCTCCTAAAGGTTCCATATTCTCCTAAAACAGCACTACCAGCTAGAGACCAAGTATTAAAATATAAAACACAAGCTTCTTGAGCGGGACATTTTACATGTAAACCATAACACCATGCTTTTGAAAAGGGACTCAAATCGGAGTGAACAATCGGAATCTAGTACTATGCTTAGGATATTTTGATGACCGAAGTGAAGATACTCACACTTGTGTCCTGACACTTGTGTCAGCTTCGTTTTTCATTGTCCCAGCACAAGAGTGACTCTGTGACACTTACCAGCACCACAGGCTCAAGCTGTAAAAGGCCGCTGCCATCTAATGTTAAATCATGGCCTATACTCCAAGATTGGAATACTAAGTCTTTTGTAAGGATTTATGAGTTTAAATGATGCTTAAGCAGGGGCTTTTAAGGGGGTGGTAATTAAGGAGCAGTGGTCTCCAATAATTCCAGATGGCTACCATTTAACTTTGTTTGGGTGCATACAGAGAAAAAGAAAGTCCCAAGCTCTAGAAGATAGTATCAAAAATACTTTCTGCTAATTTTTTCTGCTTTTCTGAAATGGGCCTAATTGCAAACACTCTGTTGTTTAGAACCAGCCATGTATCTGATGATGGCTGTGATTTTTGTCTGCCTGTGGACAGAGGATCAAGGTCCTCACGCACCAATGATTGACTATTTGGATTCTGTTCCAAGCGTAGACTCTCTAACGTGGAATTATTCAACATCTGTATTCTTCGACCATCTTTCTAGCCCAACTCATAACCCTCACCTCATCCATTCTTATCTCCAACCTCTGAGCCGTAATAAAGGCCTAATACTTTTCTTTAATGTTTTAATTAAATGGAAATCATGAATTGTTTGCATGTGTGTTAACATTTTTTTGTTCTTAGCAAAATTGTTTAAGAGAGGATAAAAGGGTTATATTGTCAGTAAAACAAAGGATATTTAGTCATGAGACTCTTGAAAGACTAGGAGGGAATATAGTTGATGCCTTCAAGTATTGACAGACTCCATTAGAGGGCTCTAATGCTACCTGTGTATGCCAAAGGTTATAAGAAGACAGCAGATGAAGGGTAGAGGAGGCAGTCTCTAGCCCATAACAACCAGCCTCTAGCAGCTGAACTCTGACCAGAAAACTGAACCAACTCTCAAAGATAGTAGATTCTCTGTGCTTCAGAAGGTCCCCAAGTTGGCTTGAGGGCTCACTCTCAGGTGATGCTGGGTGTTCCTAGATATTAAAAACAAGTGAGTCAAGATTTTAGAGAATAGAAAAGGAGAAAAATATTTCCAGAAAAAGTGTGATGGGAAAGAACTATGTCATTTTGTAGAGGACCTGCTTCCTGTGTCTGAAGCAGGAATCTTGACCATCGGCTTTGGGACTCATCTGTTGCATGTTTATGGCAATGAACACGCTCTAATAAGGTGAACTAACATTGAACCTCTCGCTCCTTGTCTACTTAGGGTCATTGGTTTCCTGGAAGCTATTGTTTGCATAAAATTTGGACAAGATCTCTTCTCCAAGACCCAGATACTCTATGTTGTATTTTGGCTTCTTTGTGTGGTAAGTCATTACTCTCACACCGCAGAATATTAGCTGAACTTCCTAGCTATCTTTAAGGAAACTGAAATACAAAAATAAGATTCTCTTGTACACTAAGTTTCCTTAGAAGTTCATAGACATTTTCTTAATAACTTAAGATTGGGCACTAGTCTAAAAGTTTAAGACTAAAATACAGCCATACAGCAGCTTAAATGGGTCACCTTGGCCATTTCCAAATAGATGCCCTCAGCAGGTACACCACCTATGTGATTTCTTTGCTTCTGGGAATGTGTCTACATGAGGTGAACTAGTAAGGACTTTGAGGAAGCAACAAGGACATTTTCCATGCCCTCTCCTTCATCCTATCACTGTGACTTTTATAGTATAACATACATGGGTTTATATACAACTTGGCATCACAGAGTAGGTTTTGGAAGCAATCAGACCACAGGTGTTCTGCTTTGTAGGCCACACTTCTACCCCAGAGAGGGACCTACTCTGAAGAGAAGAGTTTAGTGGGGCATCAACCTAGAGCTCCATCCTTTTATTTCTGTCCTTTACTCTTACCTCTGAAACTGAAATGTTGGAATGTTGGCTAGCTTGATTATAATCAGGTCTTGTGCAGAAACCACGCCTGCTGGGAGTTCATGAGAGTGGTGGTCTATCATGTCCAGAGACACTGTTTCATTCCCTGACCTTAGACTTCACATTTTTATAATTTCTTTGAATTGCTGCCCACCCATAGCAAGTAGTTGTCATACCTGTCAAGTCTCTTTTGCTCTATAGCATTCCTTATGTCTCTAGCTCATCCTCCCTTGCAGTTTGAGGGAGAAAACAGCTCATCTGTCCTATAGATTTTCTTACTGTCTTCCCAATTTCATCCTCTCTTGGAATAAAATACATTTTTGATTTTCTATAAGGTATTTTTGTTTTATTTTGTTTGTTATTTTTACAATGTCTGTTTTTAGGGTTGTAGGTTTGAAATGCCAACTACACCAGCACCTTTCACCAGCTCCTTGATCTTGAGCAGTAACAGGGAATGAGTATCTCCAACGTAATTAAAGTACGGAATTAATAATTAATTAAAGTACAGAATTAATTATATTTTTCTATCCTAGTAAGATTAGAAGAAAGAGTTGGGGGCATTAGGTGTATGTGATGTTTTGCTTCTGATTTTCTTGGATTGTTCTCTGACATGGTCACTTCAGGTTTGGACTGGAATATGATCTGCTACATGGGTAGAGGGCTGCTTACCTTACCTGCTACAGGAGAGCCATGGGACCACAGCAGGATAAGCCAGAGTGCCCCCCAGATATGGTCGAGGATACTTCTTACCATAGTACATCATGAGCAGGTCACACATGAGCAGGTCATACATGGTTGTTCTAGTCCTAACCCATGTAATGGAATTGATTTTGTTTATATCCTCCTTTCACAATATTGAACTTTGTGAGTATAAAGAAGCTTGATCATCCTTTTGCCATCATTGTCATGAGCACAGAACCTGGCATATAGGAATCTCAGCAAGTATGTAAAGAATGAGTTGGAGAGGCAGAGACTACAGATATCCAGGCCAAGGGATCAGCTTGTACAGACATGGGACTGTGAAAGCAAAGAGGGAACACTGGAGAGGATAGGAGTTGCCTGTATAGGAAGGACTATGCATACTTATAGTTGAGTCTTCTAGGAGTTGTAAGTGAGAAAGGAATGTAGTCTGATTTTTGTCACAGAGAAGCACTGTGCAGGATGGGGTCTCTAGGAAGAATGTTAAATTAGAGTATGTTTGTTGTTTGGTCCTAATTGACAAGTGACAGGTAGAAGCGAAGCAGAGTCATTGGAGGGCAAGGAAAGGGCTAGCTAGGTTTGTTAGTTGTTCTAGAGATGTTTGCATAGGACACTTGCCCTGTCATTACCCAGAATGGACTTGAAGATAACTCTGGTGTTTCTAGATTGTGGTAGTAACAGGGCACATGAGAGCAGCCTATAGCAGTTCTGAGTTGAGGTTAAATTTTTAGATGAAGATATTTTATCTCATCATCTGCCTCACTGAATTCTTCATCTGCTCAGTAACATTGGATAAGGCTTGCTAAGGGGTGACCTGACCCAAGCTATCCCTATGTAGGACCAGGAGAAGCCATGAGATTATAGGAAGAGTTAGAAGACACTCCATAGGGACTTGAGATGCTGGCCAAAGATAGGATTCCATGGAGTAGCTGGATTTAAGAGGCCAAGTAGGGCTTTTGTGACAGCCATAAGATGACAGTGAGACGCTGAAGAGGGCGGAGTCCCTGACTGACATCATCAGGCATGACACATGGAGAGGTCTCTGTGTAAGATGAATCTTAAAAGGTCTTATTAATAAAAAACCCAGAGCCAGATATTGGGATGAAAACTGAGAGATCAGAGGAGCAGAAAGAAGCCAGCCACGTTCTTACCGCTAGGAAATCCTCAGCCAAAGAGAGAGCCACTTCTTGTATACTCACACCTATATGCCTTTCTGTTCTGCCATCTTACTTCCTCTCTCTACCCAGCTTCCCTTTTTTGCCCAGCTCTGTCACTTCCTGTCTGTCTGTACAGACCTCCAGACCTCTATGGTTAACTAGTGCTGGGAATTAAAGGTGTGTGCCACACCTGGCTCTGTTCCCAGTGTAGCCTTGAACTCACAGAGATCCCAATGAATCTCTGCCTCCTGAATGCTAGGATTAAAGGCATGTGCTACCATTGCCTGACTTCTATGTTTAATATAGTAGCTGGCTTTTTCCTCTGATCCCCAGATAAGGTTTATTGTGGTGCACAAATAAAATATCACCATTACTCGGCTTGAAAAGAGGCCACTGAGCTGGTTAGCTTCCATTCTTATAACAAATACCTGAAGTCAGTTCAAAGAGAAAGGTTTATTTTGGCTCAAGGTTTATTGTTTTGGGGGCTTCAATCTACAATCATTTATCCCCATAGTGTTAGCCCAGTAAGAACAAAGTGTGCTTGTGTGATAGCCGGATATGAAAGAAAAGGCTTTGGCATGTTCCTTTATATCAGCAACATTTGCTGAGTATCCTCTGAAGTCAGTGTCCTCCTAAGATCCCAAAAGAAAAGAGTCTCAGCACTCCCTTTGGCATCCCCTTCTTTACGAAGGACGTTGTAATATAGACATGGTAACAAGAGAACATGAAATCCAATCCATATGCTAACTAGCAGGTCTCTACATGATGGAGTTTTAAAGATGGGAAGGAGAGACTCATCAGCACCTTTCAGAGAAGCCGCCTATGACCTAAGACCTTCTACTGGGCTCTGCTGTTTAGAGGTTCCTACCACCTCCCAGTTGCAACAAACTGTGAACCAAGGCTACCATGGACCTCTGGGAGACATTCAAAGCATAGCAAGTCCCTGCTGCTGCCTTGTGTGTTTCACAACCCAAAAGAATGGAAACAAATCCCAACACTTTTCATACCATGGCCTTTATTAAAGAGCATGAGACGATCATTATTCAATAAGAGAGCAGTAGGTTACACCATGCCTACCATAGTACTCAAGAAACAAAGGCCCTAATTCTTTCCTTTGCTTGGCAAGGCACCACATACAGAATTTAAGATTAATGTGGAAGCAAGCATCTCATGTGCTGCCTAATAAGGTTGTTGAATAGTCATCATACATTTTAATGTTTATTACCATAATTGTAAAGCCAAGATGGATTCTGCATGCTCACTACTGCCACATCCATGGGCACAGACTGCCTGGCTTTCATCCCACAGAGTTTTCAGTTCTCCCTCCCTCGTTTCTCTTTAAACAAAATCCATGCAATTACTGTTTTAAATCCAGACCTTGACATTTTAAGTGGGTACTTGCCTGGATTTCCACAGGTATGATTGCAAATCCATAAATTACAAGCTTTTGTCTCCTGAACCAAGTAGAAAATGGGCCTCTAGGTAAAGTGGTACATTTGGCAACCACATTAGGCCCTTTGTGTGGTGATCGTGATGATGAGGTGGCCTGTATTTTCCTGGTCCTTCTGCAAAGCCAGCTCTGTCTGCTGATTCCTGTTGGGGAAAGCCCCAGCTGCAGCCGGACAGCACAGGCTTGGAGATGAGAAAGGAAAGAATCTGACCCCTGGTGGTCATAATCTGCAATGGCAGGCCAGTGGCCATTACCTTCCTCCTCCCAGGCTCATTCCATAGCCTGGGAAGAGGTGCCTAAGCTCCCTCTCCCAGTGTGAAGCTGTTGTGCCCTTGTAACACCTAACACAATGGAGGCTCACACACACATGATACATTTCTACTTGTGGCTATTCTTTCCCTTCCATGAAAAATGGCAAATTTAATGTTGATGTATGTTATAAAATTTGGACAAGTATTAGAATATGCTGGAGGTTAGAAGCCATTTACATTTTGTAACTGTAATATATTCATTCATTGCATAGTTTTTGTTGTGAGGGAGTGTGAACTTCTCTTTAAAACTCCACCATGTAGAGACCTGCTGGTTTGTGTATGGATTGGGTTTCATGTTCTTTTGTCACCATGCCTCTGTCCCAGCCTTCTTGGTGGGCATCTAGCAGGAGCACTGAGATTCTTTTCTTTTGGGTTCTTAGGAGAATGCTGACTTCAGAGACACTTAGCAAGTTGAGGACATGAAGGAATGGGCCAGAACTTAGGCTCCAGGCTATAGGGATAAGCTCACAATTCTGCTGCTCTTGTCTGTCTGCTGTTCTGTGAGGTATTGTTTTTCTCAGTGGATGGAGGAGCTCCACAGAAGGATGGTGATAGGAAGATATAAAGACATAAAACCAGTATCTGACTTGAGATCAATAACCTCTTTAAAACTAGGACCTGGTCTGTTCCAGTTTTTCCCCATGTCACCCAAGTCCCTGGAAGGCATTCACCGCTATTTTTCCTCTTCTGTTAAGTGGGAAGATTAAGAATCTCTAAAGTGGCCTTCTAGATCTAAAGCTCTGATTCTCAGAAAGAAGTAAAATTATTCTCTCAGGAAGAGCAAGTCCCACCATGATTTCATACCGGTCCCCATGGTTAGGATGAGATGATAGGTAGCGATGTACCCAAGTGTCTATAGGAAATAGTGTGAACTCTCTGGGTATTAGGGATGGCTTAGTGTAAAGTGTTCTTGAGAATGGGCTGTTTTGTTTGATTGCGTTTGTTTACTTCACTCACTCTTTCTGGCCCCTCCTTTCCCCCTCATACCCCCTTTCTGCTGTCCCTCTTATTCCCTCTGCCCTTTGCTACTCAGTCTGGGCAGCCAAAGACTTTTCCTAAACTTAGTTTTTTGACACATTTTGAAATTTTGGATTCTCACTATCCATGAGAGATGGGTTTCATGCCCCCACCTCTGGGATACACAAATCCACTAGCTATCAAGTCCTACATTCTTGTTGACATTGTGCTTGTATAGTGTATGCATGTCCTCCTATAGCATTTAAAGCATATGTATATAAAACATAAATACTGTGTAACTTGTTTTTTAGGGAAGGATGATGAGCATTTTAAAATCTTTATTTTGGTACAAATACATTTTTTTTTTTCTCAAAAATTTCTAAACCAGTTTGTTGACTCTGAGGATGGGAAACGTCTACATGCAGTGGGCCAATTGTCTATACTTTTGTCCTTACACTGAAGTTTAAGCTGAGATACCAGCTTCTGGGTAGCCTCTCATCTCATGCAGGTTGTTACAAAGTATTTTCAGTCTCTTTGTTTTTCTATCTACAAAAGCAACAGCAGCAGGGGTCAGAGTAGAGCAACTGGCTCTGAAAAGCCAGGGTGGTAAGCTCAGCATTGTTCTTGCTCAGTCCACAGGGATGCCTTCCCAGGCATTGTTGCAATGAGGCTGAATGAGACTTTTCTGTCCAGAAGTTCTCTTTCTTAAGCTGAGTTTGTGGACTTCTTAGCAGTGGATGCCAGGTAGAGCCATTTGTCTGGTCTCACCATAGCCCTTCTTACAAATGGAGTATCTATGACCTGCCCAACCAGTCCACCAAACCCGTTCCTGCTCATCTCTGACTGTCCCATCTCAGCCACATCCAACCGTTTTGAAGCCTTGCCCTGAAGACAGATGGCAGAAAGGCACTGAGCTATCTTCTGGATTCTCCCAGGATCCCAGTTTCTGGAAAGTGAAGTGTATGTGCACTGTCAATTATAAAGGGGCTTTGTGTCTTTTTGTCTTCCAGGCCTTCACCACGTTCCTGTGTCTGTACGGCATGGTTTGGTATGCAGAGCACTATGGCCACCGGGAAAAGGTAGAGCAGAAACAGAGGTGGCCTCCATTTAAAAGACCCAGTGGGTAGCGCAAACACACAGAGGGAGAGAGATAGCATAGCAGCCTTAGGGAGTGATGCCAGTCCTGCCATATAGGAACTTAACGTGTCAGAAGGTGCCCCTGTTACACAGCTGTGCTTGCTTGTGGCTGGCCTGGTCAGTATCTTTATCCTCCTTTTGCAAGGAGTTTAAATCTTAGTTACTTAAATAAAATTTTAAAAATTAGCTAAAACAAGTGTAGAAGCGGGAAACCCCTGAACCCATTCTCAAGGTTGTCTTATATTCTGGCTCTTTTGCCTTTTCAGACCTTTTTATATGTCCCACTCCAGGCCCCCCACCTGCATTGCCTGCTTCTTACAGTTAAAGTAGAGAATGGTTTGAGTGGGTTTTAACACTAGAGTAGTTCTGGGCATTATTGTGTTTGGTGTGTGTGTGTGTGTTGATGTGTGGGATTGTTTATGTGTGTAGGGGGGTGTCAGGGAGGATGCGGGTGGGGGAAACTTTTATGTGCAGGCCAGAGGCTAACTTCAGATATCATTCCTCTCTGTGTACTTGTCCATTGTTATTTTTTATTTTTATTTTTTAGCAGTCCCTCTCACTGGTTATAATAAGCATGAGCCACTATGCCAGGCTCTTTGATTTGGGTTCTGGAGATTGAACTTAGGACTTTACTGACTGAGCTATCTCTCCAGTCCTGTCTTTGTTTAAATAAAGATAATGCTGTCATCCTTCATTCATAACTTTGAGCTTGGATATCTGTATATGTATGTGATATCATCATCAAACCTAGGGCCTTGTCCATGCTGTATCCCAGCCTCAGAGCTAATGCTTTCTAGAAGGTTGATTCTGTGTGTTCTGGCAGACGATCACAGGCTTCTAGCTGAGAAATACAGGGTGAACCTTTTCACACTCAGCCTGCCCCCCTCCTTTTTTTTCATCCTGCCATTCTTCTCAGGACTGACCTAAAGCTTACCCATTAAACCTGTGTCTCTCTCTAGACCTATTCAGAGTGTGAAGATGGCACTTACAGTCCAGAGATCTCCTGGCATCATGGGAAAGGCTCAAAAGGTAACAACTGTCTTGCTCACTGTTTAAAGCTTTATTGAGTCCTCTGCACCTCAGACCTACTGTGGAGACTTAGGGTCAGTGTTCATCCTCTGAGCTTCAGTAGAGACATTGAAGAGTCTCAACCTACTTATCACATCTCTCCTGTCTACTAAGAAACACATGGTTCTCCAATATCTAGCCAGAAGCTTGCCTTGTGAGATGAGGCTACAAACTGGGTTCTGCTTTCCTCAGGCAGGAAGTTCTACACTGCCTCAAGCCTCATGGTGGGAGCACTCCCCCTCTTGGCTTTTATAGTGGGTGAAAATGCTTAGAGAGTGCTGTGTGCCCCTGAGAGAAGGCCTTTCAGAAGAGGTTGCTGAATGTGATGGTTTTTATTCTGGAAGCAGAGCTGTGTGAATGGGACCCTCAGCTGACCTCTCTCTGGGAAGCATTTTGTAATGATCTAGGGTGACTGGGTTATTTGAAAATTTTAAATTTATGAAACATTGACAGTGAAGAGACTCCACTGGCCAGTACTTTTTAGCTCTTGTCAGAACCAAGAAGCATGGCTGAGGGGAGCAAACTGTGAGTCTGAGAGACTGAGCTTGATGTGGCCTGTGGTAAAGAAGACTTGTGAGTTCTTTAGAAATTGTGCCGAGAGGTGACCCTGGGGAGCTGGTGACTAGGAACTCTGCTTAGTTCCCTGCCACCCTGTAGACTGTTGTCATGTGTGGGCAAAGGGAGTCATCAGACCAACCTTATCTGGTTCCATCCAGTTGCATATCAGCCCTGGACACTCTTGGTTTCCCGGTAGAAAGGATTCATGAGTGGAAGAGATACCGCTTATGAAGGAAAGAGTCAGCCCAATGTTACAATGTCACCTCAGGCTCCCACTCATGAGCAGTAGGCTTGTAAAGATGTTGACCTTTCTGCTAATAGTCTTAATTTTATGAAGTCAAGAATCTGTTCCAACTGAGAGCTTACAAAGCCTGTTTAACAGTTCACTGTGTACAGCTTGGGGGATCTGTACTGTTGTTGTGAGCATCGGATGGATACTGATGTTGTCCCTTGTTTGTGCTCTCATTTGTGCTCACCCTTCTGGTCCTCATGACTGTGCTGTGTCCAGTCTATTTTACATACTGCCAGAGTAAAAATTCCTCAGGGCCCAGGTCTTATGGTGCATTTGCCTTGTATACATGAGGCACAGCCAGACTCTGTCAGGTTCACATGGCCTTAATTTATCAATGAGGCCACTAGAGGGAGAGCAAGTGTCAGTTGGCTCAAGTCAGTGTTGGGTAAGAGCTGCTTCTAGATGGCAGGCTACGGCAGGCTAGAAAGGGAGAACCACAGATTCCAGAAGCCAGCCGCAAAGCCCAAAGGCCCCTGGTGATGATGTGTTGGCTTCCTTTGGGCAGGTTCTGAAGACAGCCCACCCAAGCATTCAAGCAACAGTGAAAGCCATTCTTCCAGAAGAAGGAACCGGCATTCCAAGTCCAAAGTCACCAATGGAGTTGGAAAGAAATGAAGAAGCCTAGTTAATATCAGATGTTCCAGAGAGTGCTTAGACCTGAGAGGGCAACAGAACATCTTCGGATCTTCCTATGTGGAGATCAAAATGTACAGAACATACAGAAGGGGGCTTTGGGGATCATGATTTGAGATTATAAGTCTTGGCTTCCATAGCCCTGAACACACATTAGGCTGGCCATGACTTGGGGTTCTTTGCCAACAGGAGGTGTCTCCTAACTTCAGCACATGGCCTGTGGTTGCTGGTAGCTATACAGTGTGCTGGAAGGACAGGATAGCTGTTTGCCAGCAATGGCTCTGTGCTCATGTGTCTTGTGGACGCTGTATAAATATCTTAATTCAGATGATTTAACCAATTGGTTAATGAACTGCTCACTGGGTTTTATTTTTATGAATCTGCCTTTCCATTTGATTGATTGTTTAAGTTCAGTTTGCTTTTCCATCTTTTACTTCCTGTTGTCAAGTTAGAATGCTTAAAAGCTTCCAGAATCCATTGCTGAAATTGGGGTTCCTTCTAGAGAAACAAAGAGTGGGGGGAGCTTTTGTGTCCCTGCTTAGCATACTCAGTCCCTAGCCACATGACATATGACCAGCAGCCTAAGTTTGAAGGAGGCTGGCTGCTTGCACTGGCGTCTCAGATTGGAACCTGTTTTGTTCCATTCCAAACGCTGTTTGTCCAGACTGAGTGCACAAAAGCGACCCTGCCAGAGGAGCTGGGTTACTGCAGCTCCTCTCCTGCCAGGTGCCTTTCCCATGGGCTTGGTTTTTCTTCTATGGTTTGTTGCCTACTTTGTCTTTCTGTCTCATGTGAGGTGCTAGTGAGTATTAATTAACTTTCATCTGTGCCATGCTCTCCTAGAACGTTCTCCCACCCTGGATCCTTGTTTTAAATAAACCAGTTCACATGAAAGTCTCCTCAAATATCTGTCTGTTAGAATGGCATTTCTTCATTATCTTTTTGGTCTTTCAGCGGTTTATAAGCAAGCTTGTATTTTACAATTGACTTTAAGATAATACATATGTATATGTGTTCTATATGCTGAAGAGAAAAAAGAAACATTATTTTTAAAGGGCTTATGATATATGTCCTAGTCTGAATCTTCCAGAGTAATCCACAGGAAGTGGAAGTGTAGCCATTGTCTGTCACTGTGGTCATGCTGACCAAGTTGGGTTTTCTTCTTCAAACAAGTGGCCTGTACAGATACAAACCTACTAACCCTTGCTCTTATTTCCTGGAGCACAATGATTTCTGCATCTTTGCTGTCTTAAAGGAAATCTTTGAACTATAGAAGTTATGTTTTCCTTCTTTTAAAAAAGAATTCTCAGATGAGAGGGTTAAATGAATCATAAACAGCCAAGGTCACAGTTAGTGCCCTGAGTGACCACTTGATCTAGAGCCACCTACAGACATGCCTCTTCAGCCAGACTGTTCTGAGAAGATCAGCAGCAGCAGCTAGCCCACACTGGGAATCCAGGGCAGGCCATAGCTCTCAGCTTCCCCACCGCATCCCATGAATGTGTTTAAAGGGGGGCAGAGCAGTGCATGCTGCATATACTACCTGTCATTCCCCATCCCTTCTTTCATAGTTTTGGTATTGAACCCAGGGCCTCTTGTGTGCTAGACAAGAGCTCTGCCTCTGAGCTTTGGCCTTCTCTCACATTCCATCAAACAAGCTTTTATGAATATAGTTATGACTTTAAAACATCCCTCTGCTTTGCAGATTGGTGAGTTTGTTTTGTTTCTGTGCAATTTTGGTGAGCCCCAAAATTTATATCCCTCTTATAGGTTCTTTGTCATGCCATTGAGGGTTTCCAAGGTCCTTCTCCAGAAGAGCTGGGTCTTGTGCTGTAGGACTCATGTAGTGGGTGGCCCAGCCCCTCTGAAGGGGCACATGCCCATCTTCTACAACCAGACAGTTAAGTGCCTGTGGAGTTAATGGTGAATTTGACATTGCTGTGGTGTGCGTAAGAACCAAAGCACACATGCGTTAATGTTTCCTCTCTGACTTTGTAGGAAACAGCTAGGAAAGCACGCTAAGTTCAAACTTTCTATTTCCCCCTTGAGTAAGTGCTCTTAGCTGCTGTAATGACCAAACCAACACTTTCCATGGCTGTGTTACCATTACTCCTCCACATTTCCAGGTTGATGGAAGTAGAACACATGTTCCAGAGGCATCTTTCAGTGAGTGGTGACTATAAGTCACTTCATGACCCCCTTTGCAGATTGCTGTCTTTAAAGACACCACTGTTGAGGGTATAAAGCAGGAGGAAATTTTTTGTGTCTTTCTCCCTAATTCACACTGCACTGAGTGTCAGACTCTCCTTCCTTTTCATCATCCTTGGACCTTACAGGCCTCTCTGCCTTCCCTCTTGTTCCTTTCACCATTCATAAAGAAGCCTTTGACGACCTGCTCTCCACCCATGCTCAGATGTTTCACTGCCCTGTTGAGCATTTTGATGATACCCAGCATCTGGTAAGTGCCAGTCTTCACTGGGACTGCCCTGGAAATCAGGTTCTCACCCAAGAAAATAAAATTGCTTACATCAGTCCCAGTCTTCTTAGTCCCTACTCAGAAGCCACTTGCCTCAGAGCATCCTGAGAAATGATACCTGCTTTGTTAAGGCCTGCGTTTTAGAATTGGATTTCCAGAATGTTTGGGTTACATTTCAAGGCCCTGACGGAGTGACTAGTTGGGAGGCTGGGTAAGAAGGGAAGGCTTACTACTGGATGGGAAGCAAGAAGTGGGGCCTTTGGGAGCAGACTGAGTGTGTCCTCTAAACACTGTGTTTGACATCCATTGGCTGTGCCCAGGGACTGTCATAGGACTGCTGGGCATATCACAGGTGAGTGTGACTTAACATCCAGAAATCCACAGGTGGACTATTGTGCCTCTATATTTCCTATTTCTCTGATGTAGAAAGGCCTCTGGTTCCTGCATCTCACCACCCAATGGAACACCTCTTTATGTGTATGCATGTTTCCATGATTACATTTGAGATTTGGTTCTTTGCAGTCAGTATTGGAATGACTGATACTGATGGGCCACAATCTTACTGCTCATCCGTAATTAAAGATGTAATTTTTACATTTTTTTATTCTGAACTTTATGGTAAGATGGTCACAGGTAAGGCTGTAATATTTTTTTAGTTTTGCCCTTATGTAAACTTAAAGCAATTTGTTACCATGTATTGATTGTACAAAATAATGGGTTTCATTCTGACATTGTCATATGTGTGTATACAGGATACTTTGATCATATTCCCCATTACTCTTTTTTGTCTCCCCTGCCACCCAGATGGCCCCTTTTCTCTTCCCAGATAATTTAAAGGAACTATTATTGTCTACAAAAGAAGAAGAAAATAGCTGGACTTGAATTGTTTAGTTTGTAGGCATGCTGAGTTGTAAAATATCTTCCTTGTCTCTGATGTCTACTAAAAATGCCTTTGGTCCACTTTAAAAACGTCACCTGTGACTTTGTCTACCCTGCTATTACTTTTCTTGCAATGTGTTGGATGGATTGAAAAAAAAAGGAGGGGGGGAGCCCAAGAGTTTTCTATGTAGCCAAGCTGGCCATGAATTCACAGAAGTCTTCTTATTTCAGCCTCCTGCGTGCTGTGCTTACAGGCATGTACCACCTCACCTGGCTTGTTGGGTAAAAATTTAAAGCTTCCTGACCTCTAAGGTGACATATTTTTACCACACTCCCACATTGTTCAAAGGTTTACTATAGTCAAAGGTCCAGGTCCTGTCAAGGCTTCATGTAGCTCAGCTTAGCTTACAACTCCTTGTAATCTGGTATCTCAGTATTCATGTTGAAAGCTGGTCTTTTCGTTCAGTGTACCTTACTAGCTAGAGAAGTGGGTGTCAGGCCAGCTTCCTGCCTACAGTCCTAGCAAAGACTTCCAGACCCCCAGCATACTGCCTTCCTGTGGCGGAGAAGAGGATATTAGCACATCCCTTTCCCCCAGAGCCTAATAAAGACAGGAACATCACTGGGAAAATAGAATTTGCTAGAGGGCTTTGCTGCCCAGCTGAGTCAACCAGCTTGGGGGTCTCCTTAGTTATCTGGACTCATGCTTACATATTGTAGTATGATCATGTGTTAATTACTGCATTTTCTTTGGTACTGAATGTTACATTGCTATTGAAACTATAAGGATTGTGGGCTCCAGTGGCATCCTGAGACAGCAGGAAGGTTTTCTTAATTACAGGCAGGCAGGACTACTGAATGCTCCCTTACTAGAAATATGTACTGTACTCCTGACTTCGCCCACTGCCATAACAAAGGGCTACTTGCATTTGCTGTCACCAGTCTGATTGCTCTATGCCACAGGCTGATGAGGTCCTTTCTAGACAGGTACAACTGGGAAGGACTAAGTTATCTAGTTTGCCTGGATTTTTAGGATTCCCCACCTTCTCAAAGAGTGGAAATACCTAGATCAGCTGCAGGAGGGTAAGTTTTGTAGCACCACAGAGAACAAGTCTTCAAGACAAAGACGCTGGGGACCTCTGAAATAACTTTGGATGTAGCTCTCAAAACCCCTATCTTCCCAACAACCTCCAGAGCACCGGGCTTGCTTCACTTGTACACCAGAGTCATAGCCCTATTCCAGAGGAAAGGTTGTCCCAGATCTTCACATGTACATATGTTCTGTGAGTCCTGTCAGTTCAGTGGTATCTGGCTGTTTTCTGGAATGAGATGGCATGGAGCAGTTGAGCACTTGCCTGCAGGCACTGGGCCAAGAAGGAGCTGTCAGGTCAATCTAGGACCCTAAGGCTCTTGTTCCAGATGTCTGGACATAATGTTTATGTTCCTGTCCTGTTTCTCCATCACCTGACAGAGCTTACTTGTCTTTACCCATAGCACTCCTATCCAGTGTCATCGGATAGCAGATGACTGGTGGACAGTCAGATCTTTGGAGAATCACACTCTTTATGTACCCCTCCTCCATTCAAAGGGATTCAGATCTCAGGGCCTCTGGAGTTGCCCTCATTTGAGATGACCAAACTGCAAGAGTGGTACTGGCAATTAGGTTCTGTCCACAGCTTTTCCGTCCCTTTGTGCCTATGATCTGAAGTGAGCTAAGATGCCATCCCTAGACCTGGTTCTACCTCTCCACTGGAATTCTTTTTCTGGATGGTTGATGTAGGGTGTCAACCTCCAAGGCAGTTTGTTCCTGTTATTAGCTCCCTCTGCCTGTAGGAATGTGATTTACAATCTGGAGTGGCCCTAAAGCCCTTCCCATTTGAAAAATAGCAAGTATGGGAAAGAATGTAAATTATATATAACAAATTCCTATGGTCAGCAATAATGGGATGGCAGGGGGGGGTTATTTTTTTTAACGAGGGATGCATATGGCTTTAATTTGTAAGGGGCCCACCATATTTCTAGGAAGAACAGATAAGAGTGCAATGTCCTGCTGAGATACAGTGTTTTTCCAAAATGAAAAATAGCACTTCTTGGATGACTCACTAAATACTTTGAAGTACCCATTCTACTACACCAATGGGGAAGGGACAGTAGGTGGCAGTAACATTCTAATATTTGTAGGATTAGTTGTCTGGTGTGAGCACCCCCCCTCCCCCCCTTCCCCAGCTCCCAAATTTTACTTCCCAGGAGGTTTGGCTAGAATAGTTTTGTTTTCTTCTTTACTAGTTTGTTAGTGGAGATTCTGTTCAAGGATCATACTGCTACTGTAAGCAGGAACAACAGCCACAAAGTTGTCCTGAAGCATGGTGGGTCAGCTCAGGCTTTGGTTTCACAAGCTGGGCAGCAGTGGCTCTTGACCAGCCAGGAAGGGAGGGAACCACTTGTTGCCATGTGTATTCCTGCTTCTGGGATCATCAGACCACAGAAGCTGGGGTAATGTTGGCTTTACTTATGTTGAGCATTTTCCCATTTAGCCCAG